ACGTGGGGCGACAGGGTGCAGGTCACCTGCCCATTGAGACCGGAGTCCCGGTCGGACACGCTGATAAGGGCGATGACAGTTCCCACTGAAGCGTTTTCTTGTACTGGCAGAGATATGGAGGTTATGGCCATCTCTGGGGTATTATCATTCTCATCCAGGAGTTTTACTATTACTTTGCAGTGTCCAGTTAATGGGAATGGACTTCTATCTACAGCATCAATATTAATTTCATATAAATTACAGTCTTCGTAATCCAGTTCTCCCTTAACTGTTATTTCCCCACTATTCGAATCGATTATAAATTTAGATTTGACATTTTCAAGAACAAGATCACTAAAGAGATATACTATTTCCTTATTAATGCCGTCATCTGCATCCGAGGCGTTCAGTTTAATAACTAATGTCCCATTTGGTGCATTTTCTAATAATCTGATATTATAAACTGATTTATCAAATTTGGGGGCATTATCATTCGCATCCAATACGTTGATCAATAATTGAACTGTACCTGTTAGTTCAGGTTTTCCTCCATCAGTTGCAGTCAGTAATAAAAGATGTTCCTGGATTTCTTCCCGATCTACTGCTTTCTTTAAGACTAGCTCTAAAATGCTTGTTTCTTCTTCATTTGCTTTAACATCCAAATCAAAATATTCATTACTATTTAGTTTGTATCTCAATTCTGCGTTTGCTCCGACATCCATATCAAATGCGCCCTCTAGCGGAAACCGGGAATCCACTATTCTTGACTCTAAAATAAATAATCTTTGTTCCTTTCGGAAGAACCTTGGAGGATTGTCGTTAATGTCCCTCACCTCCACCTCCACATGGAAAACCTGCAGCGGCCTGTCCACGATCACCTCCAGGTGGATGCTGCACTCCAGACTCCGCCCACACAGCTCCTCCCGGTCGATCCGAGAATTCACAAACAAAATGCCATTCTGCAGATTTACCTCCAGAAGGTCTCTATGACCTTTGGATGCCACTCGGAAAAGGCGTGGCACCAGCTCCGCGAGCTCCAGCCCCAGGTCTTGCGCGATGCGGCCCACGAAGGTGCCGTGTTTGACCTCCTCCAGGACTGAGTAGTGGACCTGGCCGCTCCCGGAGCAGAAGACTGTGAGGAGCAGAAGCGAGAGCAGCAGGCGCCGGGAACCTGGACTTCTCTGGGAATATACCATCGCAAACACGTTGCAATTTTCAAATGTCTATTGTACTACAACAAGGATAGCTTTTGGAAACCTAATTCCCAATTTGCTATAATTTTTTATTTGCTCACCTTTTCAGCTTCAGCAGCAGAGTAAAACACGGAGTAGCCTTTTCCTTTCTAAGGAAAATAAACTCACCGTATCCCTTTATTGGGCGGAAAAAAAAAAAAAAGCCAACCACCAAACTTGCGGTTTCCAGCGCCATCATGTGGATGTAAGGGTGAGTTTTTACTTTATTGTGTTTTATTTGCCTTAGATTCGTTAAATATTTCCCAATTACAATGACTTTTAGGTGTTCTTTATTTTCCTTATCTCTAATTTAAACACATCGTTAAGACTATAATAAAGAATATCTGTTTTCATTAAAATATTGCAAAATCAATACTACTTTAGTCGTGCCACACCAGTCTTTACTAGAGTAATTTGTATTGGTCTATTCCATCTAGGGAGTGGCTTTCTATAATTCCTAAATAAAATTAAAGGTTTTAGTTTTTCATTTATTTCCATATTTAAATATATCTTATTAAATTTCTTGAGTGTTTTCTATTATTTTGATGGGATGTTTGTACACTACTTCTATGTTATTCATGAAACAATTTTATACTCCTATTTGCAGCACTTAATATTGGCTTTTTGTTGATGTTATCTTTAAAGTAACAAACTATTTGAATAGCGTTCTTGTGTGAGGTACTGTTTTCAAGTCTGATATTCAAATTGCTAAAAATCCATTTCTTTCATTTCTCCCTATGTCACCTACTTTTAATGTTGACTAAAAAATCGTACATGGAGATCTAAATTTTCTAGAGGCCAAAATCATAGTAAAAACACTCTTGGTCAGTATCTTGACACCATTTTTCAAATTAGAGGCATCTAGCATCATTTCTTCAACTACTGATAAATCACAGTTCATATAAACTGTGAAAGTACATATCTTTGTTTTAATGCAGCAAATCAAAATACTAATATTTTCCTGTAGATAGAGTACTCCATTAAATGTTTGAGTTCCAGTAAAAATTAAAACATTAAGAATAAACTACATTACTAACTGGACTATGTTAATTTCATCTCTTTTTAATCATCCATTTGATTTACTGCATGATACCACTTAGACTTACTTATAAATATGACCAGAAGAAAATGTCCCAAAAGAAAATGTCACCAATTTTTTCCACTGAAAAAAAAATTTAACCTTCTGCTTGTGTATATACTACCTGGAACTCCTTAAATATTAAAAAATCCTCCTTACTTATGAAGACATTGGAGATCAATAATTCTATTACTTGACACTTTTACATGTAAAGCATAAACCCCGAATATATTCCTTAATTTTGGTTTAAGTTGCATGTGAGACTTGAAGTATTATTTTTGTGTCAATTTATAAAACAAATGTGGAAAATGGTAATATAAAGAATAGTGAGAAGATAAATAAGAAATTACTAGAAAATACAAAATCATTTGAAATACCTTTGCTTCCCAGTATTCAAAGTAGGCAAGAATTAGAATAATTTTACTGGATTCATTTCTTATATAATATTTAACAGTAACTTTAACATTCCTTTAGTTTTTCAAAGATTCTTACTCTCTCTACTAATATGACTTTCTCCTTAATACTCAGATTACCCAAACACCAAGTAATCTGAGCACTAATCAATTTTCCAGATTACTTATCTGTTACTGATAATGATAATTTGAAAACATTTTAATATACAACAGCTAAAAAAACAAAAATAATAAATGTGTTGAAAAGATCATCAGTTATGGTTTATTTATCTTCTATTATGGAACCATGACTGATATGAAACTCCAAAACCATACTATAAATAAATTTATTTTTGAAAAAAGTAAATGTCAAGTATTTAACAGCCAAACTGACAGTATGATGTTAACTATGTATGCATGGTGATTTATAGAATATTTTCAGTATATATTTCAACATTTTGAAAATATACACAATGGAAAAAATGGCATCAACAGTATCACATACTTGCTCATTTGTAATTTTATCATGTAAATATATAGATATTTCAAGAGAAAACAAGACTTTTGTCATTTGACCCATCTTCACATCTGTTAGATAATATTAAGTTTTTGAATTGCCATTTGCATTAGTCTTTCAATGCTCAACTGTTCTGGGGGAGGTTGAGTTCTCAATAATTAAAGACTCTCTTGTCTTAATTCCACAGACAACTCCATAGGTAGTGAAAATTCTTTAAATCTTCTTCCAAACCATTCTTTCAATCAAATATTATAGATTACCTTATTAACTGATCTTTTCACTTTCTAGTTTCTTTATAATTTTTAAACTTTGTTACAGAAATTAAACTCCTTCCTTGACCATGAATTTAGGTTAAGAAAATCAGATGGAGTTTTGAGGCATCTCTACTTAATACAATGGGAAGTATTCCAAGATGAAGCTATGCTAGAAAATTTAACTTTGCATTGGAATCTAGATGCCCATCATTACCTACAAAACTACAGAATAAAATTTTAATAAGCTATATTTCTCCCTTATCTGTAAAATTTTACATAGTTCTACCACATTGCCCAGAGACTACAGGTGAAGTTGCATCTTATAAGGATTTATAAATAATTTATGCAGCTGTGTCAAATTTGACCAAAAAATTAATTATAAAAAATTATCCTATGAAAGCATATTTGTGCATATGGTATATATCTTTACATTACTTTTTAATGGTTCATCATCCCTATAAAATACTGTGCTAAACTATTTATATTTTATATGCATTCTAGGGAGAAAAATCTGAGAGTAATTTCAAAGAACCTCTAAGTGAAAAAGTAAAGTACATTAAGTATAATATTTACTCACAGTCCTATTGCCTTTCTAACTGCCAAATAGACTCATTTAAAAGTATAAAGACACAAGAGAGCTAAAATTTAAAACTTTTGGTTCTATTATCTGTATTCACATTAATATCTGTGTAGCCTCAAGCAACTTTTTTGTCTTGGGCACAATTTAGTCATCATTTAATTGAGAGAAACTATGCTCTTTTAGGTCATATTCAGTTTTAAAATCCTAGATCAAGCAAGTAGAAACTTGCTGAGGTGTAAGATTCTTATAGCATTAGCCAGTGTCCAAGGTGGAAAAGAAGAAAGCAGGGTAATTAAACAGTAATAAAATTCAATAAGCTTGGTTCTTATGATTTAGTGGTGAGGAAGAAGAAGCAAAGTTTCAAATAAGGTACAAAATTTATGTTCTATTAACTTTATTTCAAATACTACATAATAGAACTAGGAAATCAGTGGGAAAGAAAAAATGTTCAGAAGATTTGTAATGACAGACATCATTATAGGAGATAAAAAAAGAAAAAGAAATAAAATACTTATTTTAATTAAAACTTTTCCATAAGTGCCCTAAATCTATATCTGTGAAATATTTATTTATGTTATCCATCTTTTAAGGAAAATAATGACATCTACAACAACTATAACTTCTCAAGCACAATATCCAAAACTCACTACAAAACTATCAGGCTTACCAAGTAAGAGGATCATGAGAAAAAAATATCACAGTGATCTGATAGAGCACAAATAAACTATGATTACTGTATTGAAATAAACACATACTAAAATAAGGAATTTTATGAGAAAACTGAAATCTGTCTTCAAAAGGAAAACTACAATTCTAAAGCTAAAAAATTTCACAATTGAAGTTTAGAGACCATTGATGATTTTAATAGTAAATTGAAGAAGAGAAAAGTGCTAAATTAGAAGATTAGTCAGAACAAATGTCCAGCGTGTAATAAGGAGACCAAAAATTATCTTCAAGAAACAGAAAGGGTCATAGAAGATAGGAGAGATATGGTGAAAATATTTTACACACATATCCCTTGAGATACGGAAGAAGAGGATAAAAAAAACATGATGCAGAAGTGATACTTGAAGGCAGAATGCTGAAATTTTTTCTGCACTGATGAAAGACACAAAGCCACATATTCAAGAAGTTTTCAATCCTGCAAACAAGGTAAAATCAAAGAAGACTAAACAGCATATAATAAAGCCATTGAAAATAAAAAAACTAAGAAAAGTATAAAAAGCAACTGGAGGAAAATAAGAAGGGAACACTACCTGAACAATAAACTTGACAGCAATTTATTTCAAGAATGGCTTTCATTTCAGGGATATCACCTTAAAAGTGCTCAGAAAAAAAATCAGTTTTAACTCAGAATTTGGTACTCAGCAACACTATTTTTCAAAAGTGATGATGAAATAAGCATCATTCTGATATAGAAAAAATTAGAGAACGCTTAACCACCAGTAAAACAAACATTAAAGAATTTCTTCAGGAGAAAAATGATCCCAGAAGGAACTAACTGTACAAAACATGATAATTACATAATCTGTATGTAGAACAAATGTATAACTGAAAGGCATAATACCAAACAAAAGTGGAAGCAGGCAAATGGAATTATTATTCAAGGTCCTACCATTGTCTGAAAGTGGTAAAAGGACTAATCTAATTTAAATTTTAACAAGTTATTAGTGCTATTTTATTTTTTTTATTTTTTTAAAAGATTTTATTTATTTATTTGACAGAGAGAGATCACAAGTAGATGGAGAGGCAGGCAGAGAGAGAGAGAGAGAAAGGGAAGCAGGCTCCTTGCTGAGCAGAGAGCCCGATGCGGGACTCGATCCCAGACCCTGAGATCATGACCTGAGCCGAAGGCAGTAGCTTAACCCACTGAGCCACCCAGGTGCCCTATAAGTGCTATTTTAAAATCCAGAAAATCAATAAAGAAATTAGTAAAAGAATATACTGTATAATTGAAAAGATAATAGAGAAAATGAGTAATTAAAATATACTAATCCAGATAAAGATAATAAAGGAAGAGAAGTAGAAAGGAAATTTTAGGGATTATGTTAAACTACGCCAATCATAATTAATTATTCATCCTGAGCGTTTTTTAATTAGGAAGAAATTGATAGAATACAGAAAATAAAACTTTAGATTAAAAATCAAAATTAATAAAGGGTATTCAAAACTAACCTTTGAAAGGGAATCTCTGGTTGCTGGCTGCAGATCCTCTCTGTCGTTAGAGTCAGGTACACTGGGACTGAAGGCCATGAGGTCGGTCTTGGGCGC